ATATTGAGCAAAAAAAAACAATATTAATTCATATTTTCTCTTTTATATTCACGAGCAAGAAATAATTATTAAAAAGAAGAAATTACCAATAACGGATAGTGTATAAGATTGTTGCCCTAATCGATCTGAGTGATCTTTCCTTTAATGACGAACAATTAATTTGAAGTCGTCTGATTTGCATATAGAAGAGCAGTGGGTAGTCTAGCTCAGGGCAAACACTGGAAGAGTTAATTTCAGCTCCAGCTTTCGTACTTGCATTTATATAGGACAGTTACTTATTATGTCTGGATGTTCTCAGAAGACCATAGTAGAAACAAGTAACATAAATGTTTATCTTTAGCAACATTTCGGTTGGGAAATGAAATGGGATTTCTAATTTGTTTATGAAAAGATACTGAAAAAAAAAACATATATTGTTAAGACGAGAGAGTGAGAGAGAAAAATTTAATATTTAGAACGACATGCTTATAAAATTTTAATTACAGATATTATTAAAATAAAGAAAAATAAATAATTTAAATGACTTTTGAACTTCCATGCTATGGTTAGATCTCACCTACATGTGTTTGTTAAAAATTAAAAATAGTTTCACTTCAATATTTACGACGGTATCCGTTGAGATACGACCGCCATAACCAGAACACCATAGCTCAAAGAATATTTGTACATTTCTCTTATGTAATGTTATCATTGAAGTTGCTAAATTCAAATGAAGCATCTCGGCATCAAACATCTCCACTAAATTTCTATGATGCAGTAATTAAAATTCAATAATTATTGCTTATTTAAAAACAATTATATGTTGAGAAAGAATCATGAACACAAAGTTTTATGTGGAATATATTCTTTACAGAATAATAATGAATCATCAATATCGAATCGACACTAACAAACAAAATTGTTAACAAGTTTCATCTTTTTTAAAAGCAGTTTGCGCAAATATCTATGGAAAATCGTTTAACTTTTTTTTATCGAGTAATATAACATTCTGTCATAATATGGACATTGATTATAGTGAGGAATGAGTTCATTCACATAAAAAAAAAAAAAAAAAAACTGTACTACAACAATCCGGGTCTTGGGTCTGGGGTCAGTACTTTGTAGGGAAGGGACTGTTTCTTGGTCAACGGTTATGCAAGGAGGTGGCTTAACCGAGCTCACGATCAATCACAGATTTTTTTTTTTTATTAACTAATTAATTTATTAAGAATATCCGTTTTATAGAGACTGGGTTTGCCATAGAAGGGTCTCCTGATCTGCTGATGAAACTGAATTAATAATTACGTGCCATCAGTCGGATTCAAACCGAGGACCTTGATCTTTCGAAGTTAGTGTCCTAACCACTGAGCTACCCAGCTACAAGATCGTTATAACATCTCAGGTATTTTTTTAATATTTAAAATTATTTAAATTAAGATATCCACGTTATAGGGGCTGGGAGAGTCTCCCAACCCCAGGGTCGAACCATGGCTGATAAATCACAATCAGTAATTTATCTGGCAACAGCCGGGATTCGAACCTGGTACCTTGGGTAAGCTCAGTGGCATTCACACCATAAAAGATTATTTATTTTTATTTTTTTTTATTAATTAATTTATTTTTTAATTGAAAAATTTACAGTGGATGAAATTTCTCTGAATTAGGCAGGAAAGTCATGTAGGTGTACACATCAAATTGTTTTTTGTTTGCTTTAGAGGCCTTGTTGATCTTTGGCCATTTGAATCAGGACTATCCACCGCAGCCTTAGATACCTTAGCTTTCCAGTTTGCTGCGTGTTGATCTGTAGTGTCTTTGTTAGTTCTATCTACCCATCTGCATTTTGGTATCTGTTGCCAACTCTTCTACCATTCATTGTTTTATGCGAGCTAAATTTCCGTCCAACATAATCTTCTCGCCTACTTATCATGAGATATTGATTTAACTGTATCATAATTCAAAACGCACAAATTATCGCGAGTAAAACTATCCTGTCACATTCTATTGCTGGGTTCATTGATGCTTATGTGTATAGAAGGATCGAAAACAAAGAAATCGAACAATGGGTTATTCTTGTTGGTTTATTGTGTTTTTTAGGAAAAAAAATGGCTCATAAAAATACTTGAATAAAGACAGTTACAAATGGCGTTTGAAATGACAGAAAGAGAGTCCTACTACACCGCATCGACATAAAAAGAAGAGACAAATGGTTACTCATCCATTATCCACTCGCGTGTTGCCCATGTTTAGGTAGTGTCTTATGATGGATAAATAATAGCAATTTTTTTTTTGTTTACGAAACACTTTGATATCATTTTTTACATTATGAATCATAATTCCACCTTAAACTAAAAATAAATCAAGCAGTAATTCCGTCCTCCTTACTTTGTTTTCAAAATAAGTATATATATATATCCTAATATCCAAACATTTTTCGACTGAATAAATGCCTGGTGTGAAATGATGTTCATAGTTGTCTCTAGTTGACTGATTCAGAAAATAAAATTTAAAAAATAAATACATGGATCATTAATAATATGTTTTTTTTTTAAATATATTCCTTGACATTTATCAGTTGAATGAACTAATCTCACAACTATTAATCGTGAATTGGTTTAATGACATGAAAAGACTTGTAGAGAACTAGACATTGGTAGCTGTATATACGCCATTTATTATAATACTTTACATAAACAACAATTAGAAGTTTCCTTGGCAAATAACCCTTATCTGATAACAAATAATATTACACTCATTAGAAAATTCCGAATTTCCCAATAAACTACTTTAAAGTATCTCAAAAAAAAAAAAAAAAATACAAAATGAGACCATTGCTGATGGCCTATTATACCTTATTAGTCTATAATCATTTTTAATATCATGTTGTGTCGTGGTTCCACCAAGTGTAACTTCATAAAATTTTCTTTGGCACTTTATAAAATATAAGTTACTTTAAAGTTTATAATATAATATACCAGTCCATAATAAGCCATATCAATGACTTGAAAAGAAAAATTATATTTTTAGAAACAAAAATAGAAAAGAAAAAAATGAATCGTTTTATACTCAATTGTTGAGACCAGATTTTCAGTAATCGGTACATTATATATTGTTTCCCCTTTACTTCCCTCATACTTCATACGATACACCTAAAGAAATATGCTTTTGTTTAAGCGAAGAAAAGTAAAGTATTAAAAGTTTCCCAGCACCATAGTTTCCCTGATAAAATCTCTATAAAAAAAAAAAACTACTAAGATAAGAATAGATAACAGAGGATGTATAAAAGAAAGAATGGGTACATATCGTGGCACTAAATCTCTTGATAAAATATCTTGCAGTGTAAATTAGGCACTTACTTGAATCAGAAAATGCTATAGAGACAAAATATATCCTGGCGTAATATTATTGTTGATGAAAGAATAATGTCAAGTTTTTAAATATATTTCATTACTTTTGTTGTTTCAAAGAGCAATTTTACAAGTGATAACATTATAATTGAGTAATTATAGTCACAACTGAACTTAACTGAAAAGAAACTTCATGTATGATTGTATAAATGCTCTTATTAATATTTTATTTTAACCGTAACAATGCAGTTATGCAAAAATTAAAGAGTACTTAGTAATAGGAGAACAATGAATATTTATTCAGGCCTCCTTTATTTGTTTTCAATATAAAAATATATATATACTAATATAAAAAAAATTCAACTTTATAAATGCCTAGTTTGAAATTGAGCTTATAGTTGTCTCTAGTTAACCGATTCAGAAAATAAAATTTTAAAAATAAATGCATGAATCATTAATCATACCTTTTTAATACATATAATTCTTGAAATTTATCAGTTGAATGAACTAATCTTATAATTAGTAAATGTGAATTGGTGTAAATGTCATGTTTCTTCCAGGACCAACTTGTAGAGAACTACACATTGGTAGCACTCTAGAAATAGTTGTATATGTTTTTAATAATAAAAAATTGCGTCTGGCTTCTAAAAAGATTTTTGTGAATAGAAGAGAAACTAGTGGGTTTGGACGGTCTTGAATTTTATTATGGTAAGAAAGGTATCTGGATTGGGCTAAATCGGTAACATATGGAACATTAAGATCAAGGTATTTTACGAAGGTTTTAGATTGCAAGGATTGGATACAAAATTAATTTAATGGCTTATTGAAACCCCCAAGCCCAACTCCGTAAGTTCTAATTATAGTCAAGTAAATGAATTTTTTGTTGTTAATTGTAAACTTTAAACGTTGGTCTAGTAAGCGTTGAAGTAGCCGCAAACGTTTAGCTGTTTTGTTTCGTTTCATTTTTGTATGAGGATACCAATTAAGACGTTTGACAAGATCGAGTCCTAGGTTGTGGGCCTGTCCAACAGGGACGAGTAGAGTGTTTTTTAAGGATCTTGCAGGATAAGCTTTCAGGTTTACGTCGAGAAGTAAATGTGATTTGATGGATTTTGTTGGAATTTATTTTAATACTCCAATTACGACACCGTTTTCGATATGAGCCTGAAGAGTTTGGGGATCTAAAAACAGTGGTCTGGTGGTTAAACCACAAGACATCGGATGTAATAGTCCTCAGTCCAGACTGGGTCTTTTATAATCTTTTGGGGCGGGGTGGCCTTCACATAGGAATTCCTCACGTACCACGTAGGATTTTAGGTTTGGTATTAATCCCCCGCTTTCATCCCATTGGCCAGGAAAAACTCCGTACATAACTTAAATGTGTGGTAGTGGTAGTGGTGGTATATATAAGTCAGCCTATGTGGTAATGATGGAGCGAGAATTATTCGGAAAGTCAGATGTATAAATTCTTTAGAGGATGGGACTAAGGATACTACCTTGGGTAACACCTGTAGACTGAATTAATAAGAATAAATTATTATGATTAGATTGACATCATGTAGTAACAAATATAAATTAAGCATTATGGTATTGATAACTGAATTCAAAACGTTACCGTCATTGCATCACACATCTATACTTAAATGTGAAGAATAAAAGGCGTAAATTAAAACTTACCGGCATACTTCCGAAAATAGTGCTATGGTGAGGAACACAAAAAGGTGGCCTTGTTGAAATTTTCTTCACTTCTTCGCAGATAGACCTAGAACAACAAATACTTATTTAATTATTGAAATTTTATTATTTTATTTTATTTTTTAATTAAAACATTTATTAATGTCAAACCGAAATAATGTATGCATCATATCATATAAATGACCAGTTTTTGTATTTTTTATTATTGAGGTACATTAAAAGTTTGTGTATTTTTAAATAAACGTGGATTAGGTAAGGGCTGTTAGATGTAATAAAATATTCTTTTGAAGATTTGATAAATTGACTACAGCCATGGTCGCAGTACTGTCACATGTGTTTTCTATCATATGTTATTGCATTCTTGTATAGTTCAAGTCCTTTCATTTGATCTCCCTAACAAGTATGCCAATTAAATTCCATTGTGTAAATCTCCTCCGGAATTTTAAGATATCTGATCCAGTTACTGAAACTCCCACACAGAAACCTTGCTGTGTAAAACGATAGATACTCTTGAAAAAAAAAAAAAGCAAAAGTAATTAAAACGAAGTAGTGAACACAGCACAGAGGAGTATTTGTACCAAAAACATGACTAAAACAATTTAATATAATTTACCAAATGTAAATCCATAAGTAAACAATGCATATTTATTTTACTGTGTTAATATTTTTTTATTTTTTATAGTTTACGACAAATAAAATTGAGAAAACGAATATATTAGACAATATGTCATCGACATTGGATCCTTGTTTTAATCGAACAATGATGTAAAATATTTAATGTAATTTATCATATAGAAATTTTACTTATAGCACCTGAAGTATTTATTTTTAACTTCGACAGCTTCTTATGAGAGCTTTCAAATTTGTTATGCGAAATTTTAAAATGACAATAGCATCATATTTAAAAATTTTGGGTACAATGGATGACATTTGATGTCAGCCATAACTATACATTTAGTACTGCTCCTAGATGTAAACCCCAAACATAACAACGTTATAAGCATAGGTATTTTTTTTATTCATTTTATTTATTTATTTCTTGAGTATTACAACAATATATCACTTGGAAATTAGTTATAGTGAGGTAGGATAACATTCACACTATATGTACAAAAATATAAAATAAATAGAAGCAAAATAACAATAAATAATAATCAAAAAGTATATACAATAAATAAAATAAAATAACCTAAAAATAAGAAAATTAAAACTAAGCAAAAACACATGCATACCTATATACACTATTTACAATCAGGCGAGAGAACTCCGAGGAAGGCTTGTCCCTCCAACTATGGAGGGAAAAGCTGGACTCCAGGAGAACCCTGCGCTACTCTCTCAACCGCATCACTGGTACTAAAGCCAGCGGAGATTGATCGAGAGCACTTTAGTCACATACACTCATATTTTGAAGGGAGAATCTGGCCATTGTCAGAACTCTAACATTTACAAACTATAAAAGGTCGTGAGGCCACTGCCATTCCAACCTTCTTAGAGGATTATAGGGATGGGTGGTGCTTGATAGGGATTGTGCAAGATTGGATACGTAAGGTTCTGGTGAAATTTGGAGAATTTTTCTGGGATAAGGTCTCGGACAAATGGGATGTCGAGGTCATGATGTAGGGTTTTGTTGGTCACATAGAAAGGAGCATCGACTATTGTTCGAAAGACTTTTGACAGGAAGGATTGGATGCGCTTGATGGTAGAAAATTTTGCTGTTCTCCACAGATCCGTGCAGAAGTCCAAATAGATTTCAGTATTGTCTTGTAGATCAGTAACTTATTTTCAATAGAAAGTTTAGATTTTCTGTTTAGTAGTCTGTGGCCGTATTGTCGGTTAAGTTCCTGTCTTTTAAGTCTAGTATGAGGGTTCCACGTTAGTCGTCTGTCTAAGAGAAAGCCAATGTACCGGACTGTATCTGAGAAAGGAAGCTGGATGGTGTTAAAATAAACTGGTGGACAGGATTTACGACAAAGTGTGAAGGTTAAGTATTTACATTTGGATTCGTTTATCTTAATGCGCCATTTCTTACACCAGTGTTCAATCGGAGAGAGGTACATTTCTAGGTTTAATGACGCTGTTTTATGATATTAGTTGGCTGAAAGGATAGTAGTATCATCAGCGAATGTTGCCAGGAGAGTATCAGGATGGACAAGAATATCTGAGGTGAAAAGTATTTAAAGGATGGGACCCAAGACGCTACCCTGCGGAACTCCCGCCTCAATTAAATGACAGTTGGAGAATTCAGTACCACAGCGACTAAAATCACTAAAATCCAAAAACAGATTAATATAGCACTCAATCATAGACGTGTATTAATTTATACAACAAATGAAGTTAACAAGTACGAACAAAAATACGAATTAATAACCGTGGAGCTCCGATTGTTCTTGTTAAGAGTAATAAATAGTGGGAGATACGAAGGGAACGGGTATGAAGAACACCAGCTGTTTAAAGCTATTTAGGGTATTTAAAGTGGAGATCGTACTTTAAGTTTTGTGCTGCAAATACTCATGTGTACAACGATTCGGTTATAAAATATTACTAAGTTTTAAACGAAATAGTTTTCCGAAGAAAAAGTTTAATCCTGGAGACAGACCCAGTATCAAATATTCTCTTTGAAGGAAATGATAGAGAAAATGTTTTATCAAATCCCCTCTGGTGAGAAATCCCATCATGATTGAAAAACTACAAACCTCCTTACTTCCCTAAAACTTCCAAACCATAAAGGGTATCCATGACCGAACCACAAAGGATCTTTTAATGTTTGCACATTAAGAAGATTTTACTGTTTAGGTCTATAAAACAAGCAATATTTTGTTTAACATTATCCTTAAGCAATTATTGAAAGACCTAAGTATTTTCACAACTTAATTTAAAAATATATATATTTATCTCAGATGGGTAAGTTTTTATTTAAATTCATTAATTGGCTAAAAATAAATTAAAGAGGAAAATGTTATGAAAAAATTAAGCCTTTACAGTATCTTCTTTTAAGACACGTTATTACGCCTTAATAAATTTCCTTTTTCAGGAAGGCAATTTTTTTTTATAGGTTTTTATTTTTATTAAGGGAGGCTTTTAAGAGTTTAAAGAGATGAAAATAAGAGAAAAAACTTAATGAATTTAAAAAAAAAATATCAAAATTAATGTTTATTGTATAAAAAGAAATGATATTTGCGTAGGTTATTCGAATACAAAACAAATCTGGAACAGCAGTGAGCGCATCACACAACTTTCATTTACCAACCTTAGAGTATTTTCATTTATAGTGAAGTCAATGTGAAAAATAAGGTATAACTACATTAAAACAATTAATTACCATGTTTTTCTCGCCTATCGAATCAGTTAATTTTATAGATTTAAATCACTTTACATTTTTTTTTTCGACTGTGTATAGTAAGTATAAAACAATACTACGGGGAAATTTTGTGTTTTATTGCAAACATCTATAACGAAACTTCTCGACAAAAATTAATTAACGTTAGTAACTAGCATATTATTAGGTATATATTAGCAGATCAACATTTCTTTTAGGGTACGTGATATATACAAGTTAAACTAATGATATGAAAGACCTGTATCGGGTATTCATAAAGGGAGAGAATCGTCAAGAGTCGGGCATTCTCGGCTATTTCAATTTAGCTTCCAACCCTTATACAGTTACTAATTCCAACCCTTAATACAGTTAATAATAAATTGTCTTCATTATTTATATTTCAACTTTTTCCTATATAATTGTTTAATATGAAATTGTTGATTATTAAAAAAAAAAGAAATAATAAAGAAACTTTAGTCAAAGAAATTTTGAAAACTAGGCATTTAAACTCTGTTACAAAACATCAATGAAAATAATACCTGTATCATATTAAAATTCGCCTAATTTTACACAGATATGATAAATTTAATTGAAATCGTTAGACCTGTTTTATATAAAAGTATTTTCGACAAAAATGTTGCTGTAATATCCCAGGTATATACAAATCTTAAATATGAAAATTCATTTTCGTAACACATTCCGTTTTTAAGCTAGATACACACACGCACGCACCCACGCAAACACACGCCTTACTTCGTTATTTCGACTCATGGGAACTCAAAACATGTATTTCCGTTAAAAACTCGGATTCGAAAACTTTCAAGATCTCAATATTTCCACTTTCCTGTATATGTAATATTACATATTATATATAACATATATAGACAAGTCAAAGTAAAAAATGAGCCTATTGATATATATTGACCTAAAAATATAGGAAAACGAGGCAATAAAAACATTTCTTTCATTCTGTTGTGCGCTTTTTTATCTATTCAATGTTTTCCCTGTTTTTCTCTATGGCATTTCTTCCGGATAAATTCATTTATAATGATTTTCACATGCCAATGGATATTTAGTCAACGTTTCCTTATATCACCGAAAACATCTATGCATTATTTGTTGTCTGTACTCCTCGATTCTGTACTCCTCGATTGTGAATTTCGGTGAACGTTTTCTTCATAATTTTGAATTAATTTTTTTCTCATGCTTCCAACGCCTTATTTAAAACTTTATTATTACTTTAACAAACCATTACTGTAGTTGAGTATATTAAAATATATATAATTTTATTTATTTTTAAATTTATTTGAGAATAAATCCATTGGCATAGGCTTACTATGCAAGAGAAAGAAAAAAAAATATATATATATATATATTTAATTGAGCATTTGATGCTTATATGTATTATTATATTATTGCTAACATAATTCATTAATATGCAGTCAATCGGTAGCGTCGACGGAACAATACGGTTTCTTTCGACATCTTGGCGCCACATCAGTCGATGAAAGATAAGAAACCCCCAAGGAACATGTCTTATTTTCTGTGTGGGGCTGTCGGCACGTGTGCTCTGCATGGGACAAACATCATTTCAAGCAATTTCTCTTGCCTAGTAATGTAAAGTATAAATGGGATATTTTAAGAAAATGGATAAAGCAAAATTGAAAAAAATATATAGTACTAGTACTAGATAGTACTAGATACAGTTGCCATGGTATGAGGAAAGTATAATCCATCAAATCTAATATTAC